AAAATTATAAGGATAAAAAAATGTTAAAAATATAATTTTTTAATAAAAACATGATTTTATTGTAAACGACTTGAAGCTATGTAAAATTATATTTTCAAAAACAKTTACACTTTTKGAAATAATGAGTGTTTTACGCTTCATGAATCACCCTGTATATTATAATATTTATGTATTTTTGAATTTCATAGGTACTTTTAGTTTTTTAATCTCTAAGACATTATCTCACTATACCTACTACTTTGCTATAAATTATGTTCCTCATCAAATGCTGTACATATTCTGCAAATAAAAAATAAACATTTTAAACGATTATTTCTATATGAACACGTTTTATATTATTCAACAGGTAGTCATGCCCATGGTAATCCTTCGATGTCGATGGTTTCAAACTGTCTGGTACCGAACCACCACCATCACCACCATCACCATACAGGTTATATGGTTTCCACTAACCTGGCGAACATGAGAATTCGTCCTCAAGAATATTATATGGACACACCTCACATATAGTAGACTGGCAGACCTCATTTACTACAAATTACAGCTCGTCTACATGTATTATTATTATTATATTTAAAATATACTTAATTTTGTTCGCTTTTACTTTGATTGTTGTTCATTATTATTTATAGATAGTGTCTCATTTCCATCTCCATTGTCCACTTCAACAACATTTTTTATTATTTATTTTTTATTTTTAAAAGAAATTTACAATCTATACCTTAGGCACAATGAGTAAATGTGAAACAGAATATATATAACGTATCAAAACAATTAATATTAATAATAAAAAGAGTTTACAATAAATTATATAGTACATGTTACGTTTGATGAGAGCAGCCACCCATTAATGACACTCTCGCTAACATTTTTTCTAAATAATATTTTTGAAAAAAGCTTGGCCAGCGGGTAGTGGGTACCGCTCTGACGCACAGTGGGTACCTGTAGGGTTAACTGTAATCAACGTACTAAATTTGAATTCAATGATATAAAACCATTGCATATTTGCATATATGCGAATGACGAAGACCGTCAGCCTATACATATACTTAATACTTAGTAAGTGTACTCTATGAGGTTATTGCTATTAAACTACATAATTCATTTTACTAATAATTCAATGATTGTCGTCATTGAAATCGTCTATCACTCTCCTTACGTATAAGCATTGAGTATAGATAGTATCTATACTCAATGGTATAAGCTACCTACGTTACAGCTTATATCACACTTACTATACGGAGAGATAAGTGTGTTTGTATGAGTTGACAAGGTTTCTTTCACGCGTCTTGCAGGTAACGACCCACCGGGAAACCCATGGCACTCAATGGGTGACTGATGACACGAACCTGAAGAGGGCCCTTTTCCGACTGTAACTTTAAGTACCATATAAGCACTAATACAATTTAGGTCCAATTAATGTTTGGTCGCGAAATCAATGCATTTTAAAATTCCATTGCGTGTATAAAGCAAAACACCCGCGTGATACTTACTTTCCCTTTTTGGCTGGTTATCGTGGTCAATTGTATTTGTTCGTGAATCGTGAGTAAAGTGACTTATAAACTTTCGGAATAAAAAAAAACAACACGGTGTAAAAATGAAACCTACAATTTTATTGAAGGATAATTACAATTTGCAAGTAAGTACAGCAGTAACAGAAAATAATATAACTATAATTAATTCAARTAATTAATATTATTCATTCAATTGAAGTTTTTTAACAGAAGTATCATTTAAATTAAACTTGTTAGTTAATGATGGACGAAATTACAAATAACATATTTTATAGGAATAAAATTCTATAAATATATTATTATCATATGAGTATCTACTATTATACATAAAGGTACATGTTTTATATTTTAAACTTACATAATAAATAAAATAAGACTAGGATGGATATTTCACAAATATATTTGGTAATTTGGTATCTAAACATAACAATTTATATAATTTATTTTTTATTATTATTAAATATAAATCTAATTCAAAAGATTTTAATATTTTATAGTAATAACTTCAGTCATTAAACAAATATAATAAAAGTAAATTATAAACTCTAATTTAAAAAATATTTTATAAATACAATGTATAATAAAATATTAATTCTTTAAAAAGTATAGAACAGGCTTCTTAAGATTACATTATTATATCTAAAAAAATGTCCCATTTGAATAAGTCACACAATATAAAATATATAATAAATTATTAATGTCTTATCAACTTCAGTGAAAACGTATTTTWGAAAATAATAAAAATAAATACATTTTTGGAATTTGGTATGAATCATGTTCACCCTTAACGTTAGCAGAAAGTAGGAACCATTTATATTTTTAGGTAAATGGTACATATTGTCTAGTTTATAATTTTTATCAGAGACCAAAACCCTAATATCATATATATAAACAATATTAAAGAACCAAAAATTGTTAAACAAATAGAAATTGCTAATCGAACACTCAAATGTTCAACGTGTTCCTTCAGCATTGTATTCACTAATACCCTCGATATTTTTTCTCCATCAAAATAAAAACATGGTATTACRTTTATGACAGCTAAGCCCCCCGCAAACATGATTAGATATTTACAAAACTTTTCAATAGATTCGGGTATACTATATGGTAGATAATCAGTCTTGGGTACATAMTGGGTAACAGATATGTATTGCAGTTCTAGGGGCTGTCCAAGAAATAAGACTTCGTTTTTCTTTAGACGTTTAATAACCACAAGTTTATGATTCTTACGAATTGCAGGGTAATAACAATGAGCTGATGAACACTGGTTATCAGCATCACACGACGATGTTGACCTTTCAATAACTTTTCTTACATTTAAGCAGGAATGATTTGGTAGTTCTTGAGGGTTGGACAGTGACTCAATATACTCAAAACACAAATTGCTCTTCGAGTTTGGATCACAACAGTTTATTATATATTCATCTACATAGTGTACTAAAATAATTATCAATCTTTGAATTAGTAAATATTGAGTAATAATATTGATGGTAAATACTATTTATAATCAAAGATAATATAAAAAATTTTGGAAACCATCATTTTATGTTTACCWGGTTTTGTTTCGTCGTGATGTTGAATAAATTCTGGTGATAAACAAAATCCGGAATCTATACTTGTCTTAGAGTGATTTAAGCAATCTATCCACGAATCAAAATCGTGCACATCACAGTTTCCCAATTTGGTAATAATATCACCAGTCACTAGACCTCCTTGCCCATTAACACCCGATCTCTAAAAACAAAACAAAATTATTAATTTATAACAGTTTCCATACATTATTTTATTTGATAATYATACGCCTTAGAGAGCATTGGTTAAAATAATACAGTAATGGTCAGTAGTGGCGTGAATAATTATTTTATGAATCTAGGGCTTTCATGGTAGAATGCTAAACTAGTGTATAATTTGTGTTCACGTGGTCACATATGACCAGATTTTTAAAAATGAGTGAAAAGTAATGTATAAAATGTGAACAAATTGGTGGATGAGTATTTATAAGAAAAAAAAGTAACACCGCTGGTAGTGGTTACAGGTTCAATACAGTATGTTATTTTTTTTTACATAAGCTGAAGTATACARGCTAGACTAAGATTAGTTAAGTCAGCAGGATTTATTTATTAATAATGTTTTTAAATTTTATCACTGATTTTTTGTTTTTGGGCATCACAGAAAAACATATTATATGTTATATGGTAACACAATATCACCCAAAATCAAAAAGGAAGTCTTAAAATTAATAATAGAATATTTCAAACTATTACTATTTATGTTATATGGCATATGTATAAAAGATAATACCTATTTTTCAATAAATATGATGAAGTCGAATTTTTTTGATGAGATTGTCTATAATACACAGTACACACTACACATTATTATGTTTATAACAACCAAGAGCAAAATATTTGTTTTATTGCTAATTACCTGATTTATTTGGGTGGTCATAACACCATGTCCAACTAAGAAAAATGGAAACAACATATATGGTAAGAGCCATAAAACAAGATAGGCCATTAGAGCTTGAACTATGTTATGCCATACACCAGCCGACATAACTCGAAGCTGTTTGCTACTTGGCAAAGAGGTTATGTCATCCAAATAGACATATGCCACGGGTAATATCAAAATGAACATTAAACCAATGCCTTCCACATGCATGTCTTCCCTGTTCACAATGAAAACTTAAGTTTAATAAGAGTATAAAGGACAAAATACTTGCGCAAGTGTGAGTAATAAATAATAAATCTTATAAAAATCAAATACCTGATTGCTGCTAACGCATGTCCTAGTTCATGGAAAACTGTTGAAAACATAAGTGCAAAAACATAATAGCTTAAGTCTGATATTGGTAAATTTATCCCAGGTACCTAAAAATACATATAGTTAAGAAATACTTTTTGTAAAATAATGGATTTTAATGAACATTTTACTTACTATTGGTTCAAGAAATGTATCTTGATGGTTGTTTGATGGTTCACTAGTAGACTCTGTGAATATTTTTTTACATAATTGTGCAGAAGATACAATAACCAGACATATAGATGGTATAATTAGACAAATAGTAATCCAAGACCCAAAAGTGAACCAATTGGTTTGGAATTTTGGATACCAAAACGACATTTTCAGTATTASACGATTCAATGATGTTGTGTACCATCGTAATTGAAAAGGTCCAACACTTAGTCCTGTCTTTTGCAGCAACATCAAATATGGATAGTGTGAACAGGACTAAAATAATAACATTTAAAAACATTATAAGTAATAAAAACGTCTTTTGCTATAAGTCATCAAGCTAATTGCCCAATCTCTTGTCTCAAGATTGGCAATCAATTTATCATAAACCAGAGTCACTCATCACATAATGTAAACATCAAAATTATGAGTTATAAGTTTATAACTATCCTTCACCCACCTTGAATGTGAAGTCTAAAAACAGAAGAGCTACGTAGAAAACCACAACTATAACAATTAAGACGAAAATGTCCATGATAGTTGTTCGGCCAAAAAACGTTCTAGTAAAAGTTGCTTAATTTATAATCTTTCGGTGACAGAGATGTCAATAACAGAACAGAAATATTAGTAGGTGCCGTCGATTCATGGTCAGTCAGTCAATTTCAATGATGAACGTCGTTCGAAAACCCTAAAAAACAATTTACAGACGAAAGCTAATTCTTCAATCCGAATAATCGAATATTGAATAATAAAATAAATATTAGTCATCAACTTTAAATCGTGGCAAATGGGACAAAATGCCAAATGGCAATATTATATTGGATATGGATTAATGTGGGTTCAGACTTTCAGAGTAAAGTTGTTTGGTAAATAATAAATATTTATTATCACCTTATCGGCAACAGCCCATTGCCGTGTCGCGCGCGCGCTCTCACTGTTATCAACGCCCGTCTCCCATTATCAGTTCAATCAGTGTCTATTCGGTTGGCTAGCCTGGCCATGCGTGTCATCCAGTCGTTATCTCGTCTGTCGATCATTTCCCGATTTCCCTGACCGTGGTCAGTGGTCGTGTTTGAGAATTAATTCCTGGATATTATTTAGTTAATACACTGTTAATAGTTTTAACTGTTTTAAGTCGTATTATTCCTACTCGTTACCATCAATCGTTTACGCCGTTTACGGGCTTACGCCGCTCGTCTCAATTGTCTCATTTCCCTACTAAACGTAATTTGGTCTATTATTATTATTATTATTATTGCTACGAATTATTTGGTGTGTGGTTGCACTTATAATAATATTATATTAGTATTGTAATTCAATTATTGTGTTATCACCTCGTAAGTGTCGTCTACAAGAATTCTTCAGATCAACAGGAAATACCAATTATTGTGCGAACAATTTTTTTAGATTCTGGTTTTTTCTTTTTTTTTGTTTATTTAAGTTTGCCGGTTTTTGTCGTTACGTCATCGATTGCTATTCATTCTTTAGTGTATCAATACCAAGGACGCCTAGATACACCTCTACCGCTCGAAAAAAAAAAAAAATTTTCGCTCATTTCGCGATTACCATCGCGGCGCAACGCTCGGCTGTACTGCCGAGTAAGAGACGGCCATAATAATATCAATAAAAAATTATGGTTGACACAGCCGAGGCCACCAGACGGTTGAACGTCAAGAAGCAAACATTGGACGATGCATATGCAGCTCCAGCCAATTTCTTAGAAATTGATATACTAAACCCTATAACGCACGGTGTAGCCAAAAAACGATACACTGACTATGAAGTTCGCATGCGAGTAAGTTGCCTTGTATTGAGTGTAGAAAAAATATCTGAGTTCTTTCATGTGACTTTTTTTTATTGTTTTTAGACAAACTTACCAGTGTTTAAGGTCAAAGAATCCAGTGTTCGTAGACGTTACAGTGATTTTGAATGGTTGCGCAATGAACTAGAACGAGACAGTAAGGTAAAGTGTTTTCTTGCTTGAATTAATAACTAATTCTCATGTCAATTTTACATCATATATTATGAGTAAACCTATGTGGCTGTATGTTATGAGTTATAAGTTTAAAACCAATAAATTATTATTGTTATAATATTTGTACCTAGAACATGCTTATCTAATTAAAGAATGCGCTTGATGAATTTAAAAAAAAAAATAATTCTATATWATTTAACTAGACTGTGTTAATTGGAAGGTAAAACAAATTTTGAAATCAAAATAATTCWTCTGTATAGTTTTTAAAATGCGTTTCCTTGAATTTGTGTTAGTTCCAAATATCAATAGGTAGCCAAACAACTTWAGAACTGATGTTGATATTATAATATGTATTTATTATGTAGTAAGTTATTAATTATGTTTTTTATTTAATTATCTTAAATTTGAAGCATTTATACAATAGTCATTGGTAGGGCAGAGGACTTGTGGCATTTGCATTTTTTTTTTGCACATTAACAAAAATAGCAGAGTACAATATAAATATGTTTCATGYTTTCACAAATCTAGTTTTAAAATTGCATTTATTTCAGGGTAAATTTYTTTGATTTTATACTTTTTGGGACATATTTAACTTAGATAATAACTTTATAAATTTTTCTCATACAATATGATTTTTGAATAGCCTTGGTGCACATTTTTCATAAAAGTCTGATAATTTTGATGTTATATKTTAAACCTGAAACATATACTAATTCAAATAAATAAGTCAAAATATTCTTGTTTTTACTTTTAAAATATATATTTTAAGAATTTAAATGCATATTTTGTTACTTTTTATGAATACAAATCCTCTGCCCTAATCATTAGTAATAAATACAAACACTTAATTTTAATTTTATGGATAAAATTTAAATCATAAAGATATAAAGATTTCAATTATGCTTTTTAATGTAATTTGGATATCTAAAGGAATACCTACATTGGTAATTTACAAATGCTTCTAGTGATTAATGTGTAAGTTTAAGACAGTTTACATCAGTGGTTCCCAACCTATGGTCCGCAAGACCTCATGAGGTGGTCCGCGAACCATACCTACAAAATTAAAAAAATTTTCCTTTGGGGCGTAATACAAAATTTGTTACTGTTTTTTCTGGACTTCCAACGAAGAAGGCACTAACTCATTCTTGTTGTATATAACGTCTAATTCTTAAAAGTGAGGCAGTYRAAATATTATGTAATTATTATAAATTTTRTGTRTTCTTGTTACAAAAAAGGTCTTCCTAGTTTTTGTAAGATTGAGGTGGTCCGCGACCTATTAAATATAGTTGAAGTGGTCCRTGGTGGTAAWAAGGTTGGGAACCACTGGTTTACATTAACAAATTGTTCAGATGRGAARAAGAATATCATMAAATTATTAATACTGCGTAACTGCTCTAAAATAACTTATAGTTTTATTATTATTTTAACAAGTAAAACTTAATTTACATACACAATTATACGAACAAATTTAATTTAAAATTTATATTTTCTTGTTTCTTTTTTTTTATACTTTTAATAATTTAATAATTATAATCAAAGATTCATACTCAGATTTATTTAGTGAAAAAAATATATTCATTAATATTTCATTCAAACTGGCATTTTATTAGCAYGACTTATCAATAATATGTTGTAAATAATTTATTAATTAGCCTCATAATTAATATTTCCTATAACAAGTTGATACTAATAATTATATAACTTGGGAGCGGATTTCAATGAAAATAGGAATTTTTTCCTGAATGTCTTAGAATGATGTTTTACTAACACATAATTATTTTTGATATATCAGAGAACCAAAAAATGTAATTTATTTTAATTAAGTTTTTAAAATTTAAAATGTATTAAGTGACTCACACGCTAGGTGATTAATTTAACACGTCCTGATCTTCAGAAATGTGGAGATTAATCGCTTGAAATAAAGATTATTAAATCTATTTTTATCAAAAATATGTTAAATTGTATTTTTTAAAGTCAAAATTCTTTCTTTTTTTAGAACATTTAAATTCACTCTCTAGATATAACCAAATAATATGTGTATATATTTACAATTATACATTTTTTCTACTATTTTTAAAARCGGAATGCCAATCTACTTAACTTTGTTTAGTAAATCTATGTTTTATACATAGTATTAAAAATTGAGGCTTTGTTGAGTACTTGTATACTAAGTTAATTAATAGACAAATAAAATGGTTTTATTTAGTTTCAATGTAAAATAACAGTTCACATTTCKTAGTTACAACTTACAATTTATTATATTATTACAAATTCAATACAATATTGTAATTTAGCATAAAAACAATATATGAATATGTTTAATTATTTTGTATTGTACCATTCATTACTGTTGAACTTTGTGTTCTTCCAAGTGTCTAAATTCCATTGCATGCTTGTTTCGGTTTTGTTTCATACCCAATTCGTCTGCTATTAGTGCTTGTAAATAAGTTATTTCTTTTAACTCTGTTATTGCTTCTATTGATCGAAATTTCTCTGCAATTTTATTTAGTTTATTATAAATTTTATTTAAAAACTCTGGACAGTGATCAAACTCATCAACTATGTTAGCCATCATCTTTGCTTTAATAATTTGTAAATCTGTATATGCCTTATCATAAACATTTATGCCACAATAAATATGTTGTTTTGTCTCTTGTAATAATCTCAATGCTTTATGAGGAAAATCATATTTCATTAAAACAATTGCTATTTCAACATTAATGATTGCAGTCATATACATTAAATGATATTCAATAGCTATCAATTTTGCATCCATGAGTAGATTTAATGCTGCACTTTCATTTGCTTTGGCGACAATTAAGTATGCCCGCAATCTAGTTAATACTGTGTTTTCTTCGTTTTTCTCCATTAACTCTTTTACCATATTAGTTGCAGCCACAAAGTCTTCTTTTTTCAAATACATCTCTCCTAATCGTAATGCACTTTCTGTTACATTAACAGAAGCCATTTGTTTAGCTGCCAATTCTGCTTTAGGCCATTCTTCCCTATTCATAGCTAATGTRAAATTTAAATACTGTTCAGCCATTATCCAAAATTTACAATGAGTGTATGGAAAAATATGGGAAACTTCATTAATTAATATGGGAGCAAGGTAATAATCACCGTGAGCTATCAAATCATTAATGATATTGCACATAGCTATACATTTACTCTCTATATTATAAACATCCTTGTTACATTGATCGTGTTCTAAGACTAATAAAGAATGTATTGTTGATATACGTTGATAACCATATGTATTCCAAATCGCGGCTTTTTGTACATTGTTTGTCATCCGCAGATCAGTTAAACCATTGAAATAATTATATATTTCACTTTTCTTTAATATTTCAAATATTATTGCTGGAGTTTCAGAATTTTCAACTAAATATTGAGCCATAGATTGTAAGCTAAATGAAGTAATCTGATGCAGTTCTAACTCTTTGCTTCTAGTTACAGAACATCTCAACATAGTTGATTTGTTCTTTTTACTCAATGTGTACATCCACATGAGTGCATSCTGTAAACAAACATGATCATTTACTTGATGAGCCATTGCTATACTTTCTTTTAAATAACTAATAGCTTCTTCGTTATGATTGAAAAATGCATTCAATATGGCCATATTGAGGGATGTGTATTGATAACCTCTACTTTTTTCATCTATGTTTATAACCCTAAAAGTCTGTCGACTAAAATAGTGTTGTACACTATTTACTGCTCCACAATATTCTTTCACCCTTAAACAATTTAGATAACTTAAATAATGTACGTCAAAATGGTCAGGATTGGCTCGCAGAATGTCTTTTAGTTTTTGTTGTAGAGTTGGAGGATCAAGGGCAACAGATTCATTAATTTTCAATAGTTTAACTTGTTGTGCAATAAACAGTTCTACTTGTCGCGGAGACCAGGAACGAGCTTTGTTATACTTACTATTTTGATTATAACTTGCTTGATAATTTATGTTTATCATTTCAATAATTTCATTAATTKTCTTATTTATTTTTATCATTTCTACAGCTTCTGGACTAAGTTCTTCTTTGTCATTTGATCCTACTTTGCTAGTTGAGAGTCCCTGAAAAATTGTATTATATTAACATCATTAAACAATATTTAGTTTGCTATAATACTTACTKGAATTTTATTCAGTATTGGACTGCAATGGGTTTTTACTTCCTTTATAACGGCTTCAGTCTGTAAAAACTGCATTTTATTGAAAAATAGCATTATACGCCGTAAAAATATGCCAACGGGACTACTGCCATTAACAATTTTAATTTGATGTACTTTAGGTAATCCGTTGTCAAGTGATGTACCATCTAAATTTTTGAACATTTCTGCTATAATATTCAGATTAGTATTAATCATATGAAATACTTCTAAGTGAAACGTTTCAATGAAGGTTTGAGGTAGTTGGTATTTTCCACATGATATTAAATTGATTAATTCGCCAAACGTAAGATCAGGGCATTGAATTAAGTGTAAGGCAAGCATACTAAATGTACGATGGAACTTTGAGGTTTGCACACCATCTAATGGCTTGTCAATAGGTTTTGGAAATCTCTTTGCATAGTCTCTTATGTAATGAGTTATTATTGTTAGTACTAGAATGTTATGTGTAGTAACGTTTTCTTGAATCTCATTTGCCGATGTGTTTGGTACAGCTGTAAAATCTACTGTTGTCATTTTTTCTTAATTTTTGTTACAACAATTGTAAGAAGTCACTTGAAACTACATGAAACTAGTTTTTACTTTAAAATATTTATAAACTACGTAATACTCATTATTTACTAAAATCGCAACACTAAATTTAATTAAACAARACATAAAAATTATAATTTAAATAGCTAGCGCTTGCAACTTAATACATACTTGAATAGTAATAAATAGAAAGCATTCTAAGCGATTGCTGAATATACCTATGTTGAATACTCAAATGGCGATTGCCGAAAGCCGAATGGCGAATACGGCGGAATCGGGAATAGTCGGAATACTGACTTTTTGTTATCGTCGATCAGTTTGGGCGTAATCTCTGTAATCATAATAAAAAAAAAAACTGTTAATGTAAAATTTACCATTATTATGGTAACACTGGCAACCCAATGAGATTGTAGAATAATATTTTACATCTTGAGCGGGAATGATAAATCTATATATTTTTTTTTTAATTGCTATTTTATCTTGCGAGAATTATATTTTAAAATAATAAAATWWATTTAAAACCAAATAATGTAAATATAATAAACTATAACTGATATAAATTATAATTTTTCATTATTATGTAATTACATTTTATTATCAGTGAAGTATACTTAGTATTATCTTAAATCGTGGTTTAACTGAATTAGTTTGAAAAATAAGCTATACTTTGGTTTCGTTTTGTTTACTAATAAAAATGGATTTTTTCAGATTGTTGTACCTCCTTTACCCGGTAAGGCATGGAAAAGACAAATGCCGTTCCGTAATGATGATGGTATATTTGAAGAAGAATTTATTGAAGAACGGCGAAAAGGCCTTGAAGTTTTTATAAACAAGTATATTTTTACATGTTAAATTTAATATTAATTCCATACATAATATTCCACTATCTATATTATTYATTATTAAGTAATACCGACATAGTTAATTARAATGTACAATTTATGGTATTTAACAATGCTACTAAATATATTATATTATGTATAGATATTTATTAATTATTATTGTTATGTATGATGCTCTCCATCATTAATTACATATTTTTTGTATTCTTGACTACAGAATTGCTGGTCATCCATTGGCACAAAATGAAAGATGTCTACACATATTCCTACAAGAACCAGTAATTGATAAAAGTTATGTACCGGGTAAAATCAGAAATACTTAAGTTAGGGTTAGTCAATATCTCCACCGATTATGCCTCTAAATGTTATTTTTATTTCGCCAATGAATTCTACATAATTTACAGAACATTTGTTTGTCCCAACAATACACTAAAATAGATACCTTTTTTTTATTAGCAATTATTAATATTTTTTAATAATCTTTATTGTCATTTATATTTTATTTTTATTTTTAAAAATCTCATTATACTCAATCGTTKATTTTAGAACTATGTTACAACATCCCTATATGGAATTATGTTATTTTAGTGTCTGAATTACTGGTATGTTTATTGTTTATTGATTATTAATATATTTTAATRTAAGTTTAGAAACATACCTAATAAATTTAATTATGAATGGATATATATAACATAATATTATTATTATATTTAATAAATTATAAAAAAAATAAACAAATCATTTATATTATATAAAATATTTTTGCTATTAATATTTTTGTATTATTTTTTTAACTTTTGCTTTAGCCCACGTCTATAAATATTAAAAATGTATCTATATCTGACATTTAATTCTTACTATAATAAATCTAGGTTGATCCAACTGTTGAATTTTAGGCAAATGATTGTATACAAATTTTGTCAACTTGTATTTTACTTTTATATCTACTTAAATTCCAAAAATTRTTCAATGTTACATAACAAAAGTATTGTTTGTAAAAAATAAATTAATATCGAAAGAACAGCTGATACTACAATGAATGACAGTAAAAATGTATTACCGCATTAAACGCCACAAAGCCATCTGTTTAGTAGATAAAAGGTAAATGTATTGAAATTGATTGTTAGCGTCGAACCCTCTGATCAAAGATATCACAAATGATTATTGTTTTCCAGTCTACTACACATATTATGGTGTTAACTGAAAAGTACCATTTATTTTTATTTATTTCATGTTTAGCTTTGTCTAATCACGTTAATACGTCGAGTACCTCGTAATATTTGTCCATTTGACGTGGGTTACTCGGAATCTTCATTAAATTGTTTTYGTTATAACGTTGATCATCCATGCGTTGACTTAATCCTCCAGAGTAATAAGTTGTTTTTTCACTTCATAATTTATATAATTGCTTTGTGTTTGAATGRTAAATATGCAATAATTATAAAGTGAAGAAATATTTTATACATGTAGCAATGAATATTACCTATGTGGCTTTGTATACGAATTATTAGTTACTACGAAAAGTATTAGGTATGATGTCAATTATTTGAATTATTTTCGTTTATAAATAAGAAAAATAACCACGAAAATGATTTAAATAATAAATTAAAAACTATAATATAAGTTAGTATAAGAATAATATTTATTATTTGTCAATAATAACTTTCTATTCTATCTATATCTTCAAACAACATAATTACATAATATGAGCAAAAGCAATTGTCGAGGTGTCGTCGTCGCTATATCAACGATTTCATGGGAAAAATTACCATTACTTTGTTATGAATAATCGAAAAAAACTGATTAAACTCTTCAAAAAATAAAAATAGACATTTCACTGAATAACAATGACTAAAAACAGAAGTATTGATCTGATAATTGGGTAAATTATAAAGCCATTAAGATACCTGAACAAATTTTCGACCATAACCACCGTTGTTCTTAGCGAACACCGCGAACTGTAAGTTGTCGACTACCTATGCAATATGCAGCTCTCGAAACAAAATGTTCAACGAATAGCGACTAAATCATTTCAAAATGGAATACTTTTCATTCAACACATTGGTTATTTTTGCATTTTGAGACTTCCGTTTTCCCAGTTAAGTTATGCGTTATACCGTATACGTAAGTCAGAAATGTCATCCTCAAAATGGTTACAAATGTTACAATAAATCGAATGTTATTTTTTTTTAATTATTATTATTATACATTCAATCGGAATTAATAAGTGTCTTTATTCTAAAATCTAAACAAATTAGGATTATAGTAAATTAAACAAAATTAACATACTGCAAAGTCTAAACTTCATAACTACTCCAAGTACCGAAACATTAWATATTTCAATMTTCAAGTACTTAATTGTAAGATGAGTTTCAGATTTTAGTTTTAAGTTAAATTCCTRTATTTCGTACTTTTAATTTTTGTAGCTTTTAAAAGTGACAAAACATCGACATGCCCATTATAACCTAAATTTTTGATATCTTTTTATGTGAATTAAAATTTTTTTTTTAAATTACAAATGCATATATATTCGGTTTAAATAGAAAATTCGAAAATCTGGAACGACAAAATCTAGAAGAACTTCTCATGTTTATTTTGGTGGAAAAATTATATTTCTACGACTACCCAAAGCTGAGGAATATTTGAAGTACGRATTTATGTTTTTACGGCCAACGCCGAATATTGTTACCAAAACGGCCTCTTAAGCTTTTTGAATTTTGGTTATCATTTGAAAATTTAGTTACCGTGGTTGAGCTACTGTTGTTATCTGATTAGCATCCTACCATCATTATATCGTTTTCATAACTCAACGATTTGAACATGATAAGGCACTTTATCACATATTTGATAATATATTTTGTATTTTGTAAATTTTAGAACTTTTTTTTTAAGTTTTTAACGGTTTAATTTTTAAAATCGAAAGAAACAAAAATATAACACATGTAAAATATAGTGGAATAAATAAAAAAGAGTATAACAATTTGAGAATTTAAATTACAGAAATACCACCACCGTAGCCCGCGTAGGTACCATACTACATTACTACCATGTCAATTTAATGTCCGATGGTGCCTCGACGCACCATAATCCATCGTTATCCGTAACCCAAACTTTCCGTGAGTATATCTTATGCGTTATAGTTTTACTAAAAACCCGTATTACTTAGTGCTTAGGATTAGGATAGAGTTGTGTTGTAGGTACTCACTATAAAAAATTAAGATGATGCTAAATCCGTAAAATAACTTACGCCACTACACCAGTGGTTTCAAGCATCAGGTTTTTATAGTGGGTCACGACTCACAAGTGTATAATATACATATTATTAGTACATGATCTTTGTGAATACAAAAAAATATAAATCTTCCCAAAATGATTGATCAGGTAAAAAAAATCGTTGTATGAATATTATAAATTAGAATATCTATTTTTTATTATTTTTGTCTATAATTTAATGTTAATAAAATACGAGAACTATGTTTTCTAACTATAGGTAATACGTTTTAAAGAGTTGCGAAACGTTGAGTTTAAAAATTTTTAATGTTAGGGTTACTGTAATAWAAGGTTGGGAACCACGACTAGCCCACGATAGATATTATTACATAGCCATAAAATATTTTTGTTTAACTACTGGTAATTTTCACGTATTTTCTTCAAAATCTTATTAGACTTAGTCTGCATAGACTGTAGAGGTTAAAATTAATCCCTGTAGTGAGTAATGAATAAATATAGTATATATTTATGTGGATCATWATAAATTAATACATTTATATCTATCGGTTCTAAATCGGAAAAAAATATATTTATATAGGTATCAGTCAATATTGTCGATTTGTCAAAAATACGAAATTGTTGAAATTCGTGATTTTTAAAATATTGTTTCCGATTTAAATACAAACAAATTAATACATGGTACCTATATGCATTCTTTAAATTTTGAAAAAGCTAAAATGCAAGCTGTCCAACTGTCAATTATTAGTTATGTCGAATGTTGTAAACATTATTCACGAATTAGTAATTACGAATATACAATAAATTTGAATAGTATGTACTAGTATTGATTATTTACAGTATGTACGTATAATCAATGGTACCTACCTAATAAATAGATTAGTAGAGTCACCGTCTATTATTCGTATTATTATAAATGTCAAAAAACTACGAATTTGTTTGAACCGTGAACCAAGAATACGCGTTTGTAATGTATGAAATTTTGAATTATCATACGTATATCATCATTTTATTCACCGATTATTTAAATAATAACTACCTATACATACAATGTCATATTGAGAGTTTTGTCATTTTGGACTTGAGCTACATGCAATTGTATGTTTTTTCCTTCTCACATATTTGGATTTTTGGCAGTACCTAATCTTTACTAATCATAATAGTTTGAAGTTACTGGCGAATTTTAGATCCTGAACTGAACAATGAATGTATTGACTTGACTATGTTGTGTTTTTGTTGTTTGTGTACACGATAAGTTGTCGGTCGAAATAATGTATCGATTTTCAATTTCAGTTGCTTTTTYGGTTGGAAAGTGAATCTAATTGGTGTATTGGGAAGTTCAAATTTTGAATTCCTAGTAGTTTTCAAAACAAAAACAAATAAAAAATTAAGGAAAAACGGGATTTTTTACCCAAAATCATTTTTTGAGAAAATCGAATTTTGATATTGGCGTAACTCTACCGTAGGTAGCCTTACCTAACTGTAGACACATGCAATTTTCACTAAATATTTATACTGACATTTTCTATAATTACTTGATAACATTTTCAAAACATTTCAAATCTTTTTAAGTTATTTATAGACATTTAAAATGTTCAATCATTTTAGTTTTTTTTATATAAATTACAATAAAAGTTTATTCGGTGGGTACAAAAGCTTCAAAATTTAATACAAGAGTCTAAATAATTGTTACAAAGACAATCAAAAAATATTAAAAATAAAAGTTCAACATTTTTTTCAAAATAAGCATTTAAAATTCGAATTTTGACAAAATACGTAAAAATCACGAAAATTCACAATTTATTTTGAGTTCGAAATTCATAAAAATGTATTTTTTTTAAATTTAAGGTTTAAAAATTCAATACAAGATTCTTCATGGGTTTGTCTTTTTTTATTAAATAAAAAATATCTGCCGGAAAGTCAAATTYTTATGAGCATTATATTCACTCAATTTCTCTWGTACCGATATTCATATTTTTTTGTTATTTAAAAACGAATAACTGTAGAAACTTTAAATTTATACCAAATGTTCATTTATTATCAATTACTTGATAATATTTTCAAAATATTTTAACTATGTTGCTACATTTGAAATTTTTCTTTTTTTAGTATTTTATTCTATAAATGTCAATAAAATGGTATTCAATTGGTCAAAAAACTTGAAAATTTAATACTAGGTTCCCCATAAGTTGATATAATATCAGTTGGAAAATATTAAAAATATTAGGCACGTTTATTTTTATAACCATTTAAAGTTAAGTTTAGTTGTTAAAAATTTATAAAATGTTTGACTTTTATAGCTAAAGATTGAAAATTTAAAACAAGGTTCCAAGTAAGTAGTTAATTCTATGAAAAAAAAATCTAAGTTCAGATTTGTATGAAATTACATATTAAATAACCAAGAATAACAATTTTAGTTATATTATTGTAATTTATAAATATTATTCACGGGAACTTAAAATTTCTAGAGTATGCTTTATATTCTAATTGAAATAGGTAGTGTCGTTAATGACTTATTTTAATACTGTATAATAAATTGTATATACCTACTATGAAAATGACTGAGTGAGTCGGGTGTATCGTGAATTTTATTTGATTAATTTGGAATTTATTTTAAAAGTACCTAATTTTAGATTCTGAACGAAGTGATGAATGTATTGATTTTACAATGATGTGTGTGTTTTTTTTGTGTGTGTCTGTGTACAGCATAACTAGTCGAAATAATGCTTCGATTTCAAACTTTGGGGGTGGTTTCCGATGTAGAATTGAA